GTTGGAAAACCAAGACCAAGTCTGGAAGACAGAAGATTCACTATATACCAGACAAACTAGGAAGCAAAATCCAATTATCACATGAGAGAAAAACAGTCCCATGAGATTTCAAGCAGAATTGTACAGGGTCACTGGGTGGCTCAGTTGGTTAAGCACCCGACTCTTGATCTCAACTCAGGTCTTGATTTCAGGGTCATGAGTTCAAGCCCCATGTTGGGCTCCACACTGGGCATGGAGTCTGCTTAAAAAAAAAAGAAAAAAGAACAAAAAAGAAATTTACAGGTATCTACAAAGATGGTAACAACAGCAAGGCTGGCTTCAGAGACCTCCCCTCCAACACCAACACTGGAAACACCATGCTGCTTGAGTTACCTAATAAAAAACACCATATTTTGTTTCCTTTGTGGAAAGCAGAACATTCTACACCATTTTTCTTCTTTGTTCTTCGGTGCTTTCTCGTTTTCATTAGTGTGATACAAACAACAATGGCTGGTCAAAGAAAGCACCAAGTAGCATGTTCTGTGTGGCTAAACACCCCGTCAGGTACACAGCTTCACTGAAAAAGGACATCACCACATGGGCTGGCTATAAGCAGATACAGCATAAGAAAATTTGTGGAATTTTAAATGTATTTTTTTAAAGGAATTTTTAAATTCAAATCACTGGGGCGCCTGGGTGGCTCAGTCGTTAAGCGTCTGCCTTTGGCTCAAGTCATGATCCCAGGGTCCTGGGATCAAGCCCTGCATTGGACTCCCTGCTCCGCCAGAAGCCTGCTTCTCCCTCTGCCACTCCCCCTGCTTGTATTCCCTCTCTGGCTGTGTCTCTCTGTCAAATAAATAAAAAAAATCTTTAAAAAAAAAAAAAGAATTAAAAAAATTCAAATCACTAACAAATATAAATGTAAATCGTTCATATACCACTCACAAAAATGCAAAACAGAAGAGAGATACCAAGGAAGCATTCAATCAAGAAAGCACAACACAGCCACTAAACACAGGAGTCCAATGTGCAAAAATCCTGACAAGTAGAAAATGTCTCAAGTTCACTATTACAAACAGCTCCAGACTGAGGAAAAACAACTTCTAACAATATGTTGCTTACAAGAATTAAATCTAAAATAGCAAGGAAAAACTGAAGATAAAAGTGAGAGTAGAAGACAGAGTATGCATTATCAGTTAAATTCTGAACAAAGAGATATAGCAATATTAGTATCAGACAGAGTACAGTTAGTGGTAAAAGCTGTTCAGTGTAAAAAAGATGTTACCTTACTGACAAATAATTATTCAGTAACGAGGGTATTAACATTTATGTGTTTGGGCGCATGAGTGGCTAAGTTAAGAGTCTGCCTTCGGCTCAGGTCATGATCTCAGGGTCCTGGGATAGAGTCCCGCATCGGTCTCCCTGCTCGGGGGGAGTCTGCTTCTCCCTCTGCCACTCCCCCTGCTTGTGCTCTCTCTCTCTTGCTCGCTCACTCTCTCCCTCAAATAAATAAATCTTTAAAAATAAATAAATAAATAAAAGACCTTCAAAAATGGTGAAGGTGAAAAGTGTTACAAATATAAGAATAAAATGACAAATATAATTATTCTGAAAGAGAGTAATTCCTCATCAGTCTCAGGAAGGTCAAGAAAATCAAAAATAGGGGTGTCTGGGTGGCTCAGTCAGTTAAGCCACTGCCTTCAGCTCAGGTCATGATCCTGCAGTCCCGGGATCGAGTCCCGCATCGGGCTCCCTGTTCGGCAGGGAGTCTGCTTCTCCCTCTGAGCCTCCCCCCTCTCATGCTCTCTCTCTCTCTCATTCTCTCTCTCTCTCAAATAAATAAATAAAATCTTTAAAAAAAAAAAGAAAATTAAAAATAGGATCAGAAGAAGACCTAAACAACAAATTTCATAAACTGTGATAAAGACCAAACTTTATTCCCTTTGGTAAGTATATTATCCTTCAAGTAAATGGTATTTAACATTTCTCACATTTTATAAAGAGTGATATTAATCAAAATACTTAATAAATACTTATAGGTATTGTTGAGTGACATGATACAGAAAAATTAAACTAGCAACAATTGCCAATTCATCCATTAAGTGGAAGAGGCTGAGAGGCTGAACAGAGCTTCCGGCAATACCATAGGACTGGTGGGAAAAACACAAATTCAGAGCCCAACAGAGATTAATACCTCAATTTACAGCTGAGAGTCCTAAAGGAGTATCCCATGAAAGCAGAGGGAGTGACAGCAATCAAAAAGAATGAAATCTTGCCATTTGCAATGACGTGGATAGAACCAGAATGTATTATGCTAAGCGAAATAAGTCAGAGAAAGACAAATACCATATGATTTCATTCATATGTGAAATTTAAGAAACAAAACAGATTAACATGGGGAAGGGAAGGAAAAATAAAATAAGATAAAAACAGAGAGAGAGGCAAACCATAAAAGACTCTTAACTACAGGGAACAAACTGAGGGTTGCCGGAGGGGAGGTGGGCAGAGGGATGGGGTAACTGGGTGATGGGCATTAAGGAGGGCACTTGATGTTATGACCACTGGGTGTTAACATGCAACTGATGAATCACTAAACTCTACCCTGAACCTAATAATACATTATATATTAACTACTGAATTAAAAAAAAAAAAAAAGCAGAGGAAATGAAAAGAGACCAGCCAATGGAAAAAGTAAAGCCCACATTCAAATTAGCTCTATCACAAACTAGATTTAAGACAATCTGCTGCTACTTTGCCTACCTACCAGAAGCAAAAGTAAATGGTAAGGGAAGACATCATCATCTGAGCATAAAGTTATATTGACAATTTTTCCAACAATGCTGTAGAACAAAATTAACAGACATACCAGGAAAAAAGACTAAAGGAACAAAAGCCAAGAGAAAAACCAGATCATAGAAAAAGACCCATAAAAGAACCAGGTATTAAGAACCAGATATTTGAAGTTTTCAAAGACTTTAAAATAAATATGCTTACTATAGGGACTTTGGCAGGTAACTAGAAACCTTTTTTAAAAAATCAAATGAAAATTCTCAAGCTGAAAGATAAAATAACTGAAAGTGAAAACTCAATAGAAAGACTTAATAACAGGTAAGACAGACCTGAAGAACATCAGAAGATAATAATGATAATAAAGCATCCAGAGTGAAAAGAATAGAAAAAAAAATTTTTTAAAGACTTTATTTATTTGACAGAGAGAGACACAGCAAGACAGGGAACACAAGCAGGGGGAGAGGGAGAAGCAGGCTTCCCACGGAGCAGGGAGCCCAATGTGGGGCTCGATCCCAGGACCCTGGGATCATGACCTGAGCTGAAGGCAGACACTTAACGACTGAGCCACCCGGGCACCCCAGAAAATATTTTTTTTAAAGAATATAAGAAACAAGGGCGCCTGGGTGGCTCAGTTGGTTAAGCGACTGCCTTCAGCTCAGGTCATGATCCTGGAGTCCTGGGATCGAGTCCCACATCGGGCTCCCTGCTCAGCAGGGAGTCTGCTTCTCCCTCTGTGACCCTCTTCCCTCTCGTGGTACCTCTCATTCTCTCTCTCTCAAATAAATAAATAAAATCTTTAAAAAAAAAAAAAGAATATAAGAAACATATGGAAGACAGTGAAAAGACCTAACATACAAGCCCCAAAATAAGAGGAAAAATTCATGCGTAGAAGCAACACTTGAAGAAATAATAAAAAAGATTTTGCCCAAACTGAGAAGAGAAGGAATGTAAATCCATAGATTTCAGAAGTGTTAGGAATGCTAAGCAAAATAAATACAAAGAAACATGCCAGAAAAATCAAAATAAAACATAATAAAAATCTTAAAAGTAGTAGGAAGTAGGAAGAAAGGTGTATTTCCATCCAAACAGCAACAATAAGAATGATAAATTACTTCTAAGAGAAATAATGGAAGCTAAAATACAGTAATTTTTTTTTTCACCGTAAGCTCTCTGTCCAGTGTGGGGCTTGAACTCACAGCCACTCTTGATAAGATCAAGAGTCACGTGCTCTACTGACTGAGCCAACCAGGTGTCCCTACAATAACATTTTTAGATTGCTGAAAGAAAATTACTGCCAAGCTAGAATTGTGTAACAAGCAAAAATATCCTTCAAAAAGCTGAAATAAAGATACTTTCAAACAAAAATAGAAACCCCTACTAAAGAAATATTGAAGGGAGTTTCTCCAGACAGAAGGAATATTACCCCAAATGGAACACAGAAATACAGAAAGAATTGAAGAGCAACAGAAAAGGCAAATATCCATTATAAAGCTAAATGACTATGGACTGTATACTAATGTCCTAGGAGGTTCAAATATTTGTAAAATTAAATAAACAACAATCAGAAAGGCAAGAAAAAAGTACAGAGGTTTGTTTTTAAGTACCACAAATTAACTGTAATTGTGTGTGTGTGTGTGTGTGTGTTCCAACAAAACTTTATTTACAAAAACAGGTGGCAGGACAGGATTTGGCCTGCAGGTTTTACTTGCCCAACCCTGTCCTAGGACACCAGAGATGCTTGATCCTAAAAGCAACAACCACATACTACATTTTAGCAATAAAAGTTAAAACACTTGAGCGCCAAAACCACGTCAAAACCAATACTAAGTGATTTTATGTACATTTCCTTATTTGTCCTCCGGAACTCACTCTCAGAGGCCGGTACTAGAGTATCTACAAGTGGGGAAACAGATTAAGTAATTTATGCAGTCATATGCTAGCAAGTGGTGAAAGAGTATTAAGAGCCAGATCTGTCTGACTCCAGGGCCAGTATCCTCAACCATTCCTATCATTATACTTGATATGCCTAACCTGGAAAATGACATGACTCAATCGGACAAATAACCAAGACCTCAAATAGCCACACTGAAGACCAATGCCCCACTGCTGTTCTGTATGGACATCAACATTTTATGTGAATCTACTACAGAGGCTGGGATTTGGAAGGAAACGTGTAGATCATACAGAGACTCGCCGCTGACGCTGACTTTGCGGTGAACAGGCAGGGTACTTGTCTCCATCGGGATGCTCTCGTCCTTCTTCTCCTCGCTCTTACTAGCAGCTTGGTCTTCCTCAGGAACCATGCTGCTCTGACTGCGTTCAGCTTGCTCTGCGGCTTCTTTCTCTTTCCTCCTGCCTTTTTCAAGCCTATTCCTCTGCCTGTGCAATTTCAGTGGCAATTTTTTCCATATCCACTTCTACTTTCAAACCGCACAACCTTTTAAGTTCATTGTTAAATGAATCTGTGCTTTCCAGGAATTTCCTCCTTTTCCTGGTGTCGCTCCTCTATTTGAAGAAGTTCAGCTTCTAGTTTTCGCTGATGAACCATTAAGGACTGGACCTGTCGTTTGAGGACCTGCATTCTAGCTGTTGTGACAATTGAACGGACGTCTGGCACCACACTCTCACTAAGGATTTCACTGATGAGGCGGTGGTTTCTCTGGAAACGGGCAGTGGCTGTATGCTTCATTGAGAAGCCATCATCATAATCGTCTGGATCTTCAGCAGGCTGAATGCTCATGTACGGTTCTCCTTTCTCCACGCGAGACTGTCTCTGTCGACTTTCTTCCTCTAAAGCAGCTTCTGCACGACTTTTTGTATTACGTAAGCAAGGTATGCGGGGGAATTATGATAGGCCTTCATAGATTCATTGTACCCTATCTTTTCTGCTTCGTATTCATTTAAATATTCTTGTTTTTCTTCATCAGTGAGATCTCGCCACATGCCACCAATAATCTTGCCCATCTCCCACAACTTTAGGTCAGGGTTGGAAGCTTTTACTTGGTCCCAGACCCTTCTGCTGTACCTCATGTAGGGCATCAGCGGCTTATCTGGTGGCTTTGGAGGTTCTGGAATCGTAATACCAGAGGATGCCGTGACCCAGCTGTGGGTGCCCGGGTTCCCTCCCAGCCTGTAGTTGTTGTAGGCGAGATGACTGTATGGATTGTATCCCACAAACCCTGGTGTGCTGGGCATTTGTGTTGCAGGAGCTGGGGTGGGAGGTGGGGCATAAGATGGTCTTTTTGACATTTTGGAAGATTAAGTTCTCAGTTCCTTGAGAATGAATCTGAGACACCGCGGGCAGAAAAAGCGCCTTAACTGTAATTTCAATTATAATTTCAGTAGCAATGAAGAGTATAGAAAGTATAAAGGCTCTAAGATCCTTGCATTACCAGGGAAGCACTAAAAGTACTAACTGTATTACAATTTACTAAGGCAAGGATACATTTTGTAATCTGTAGAATACCCACTAAAATAATGTATATGAAACAAGCTACAAGAGAAGGGAAAATGAAAGAATTAATCCATTTAAAAAAGGAAGAAATGTGTGAAAAAAATATAAAAAGACAAAAACAAGTAATAATATGTTAGATTTATACCCAAGTACAAGAGTATCTAAGTATAAACATAATGCAATTCCATCAAAAACACTAGTCAATTTTAAAATTAAATAATACAGTGGTCAATTTTAAAAACTACACAACCATCTGCTGCTTATAAAAAATATACCTTAAATATAAACAAAAACTCTGAAAGCAAAAGAACAGAAAATGATAATTACTTACAAAACAATTACCAACCAAAATAAAGATATTGCAGCTATAGTAACTCAAAATAAACTTTAAGGCAAAAAAATATGAAGAGACTAGAAGGTTATTTCATAAAAAATTCGATCTAATAAGAATGTAAAATAACCCCAAATCTATATGCACTTAAAAATAACCCTCTAAATATATAAAGCAAAAGTAATAGAATGAAAACAAAAAACAGGGAAGTCCACAATCACAGTAGGGGATTTTAATAAATCCTAATAACTAATAGGACAAACAGAAAAACAAATCAGTAGGTTATAAAATATTTAAGAAAAATAACTAAACCTCTGTCCTAATCAAATGCATACAGGAACTACTGAATCAAAGTTATGTTCAAATGCACATGGAACATTTATGAAAACTGGTGGGTCATAAAAAGTCTCAACAATTCCAAAGGATTAAAATCATAAAGTATATTTTCTGATTATAGTAGAATGAAACTAGAAATCAATAACAATACAACTAGAAAAATCCCCCAAGTGCCATGATATTAGGAAATGCATAGATCGCAAAGACACAATATAATATACATTATAATGCCATTTATATCAAATATCTAAAACCATCAAAACTAAAAATCTACAGTGTTGGAGGTCAGGATAGTGGTTACATTTGGAGAGGGGAGGTTAACAGATCATGAAGGGAGCCTCTCTGGGCTTGGAGATGTTCTATCACTTGATCTGAGTGGCCATTACACATCAAGCTTGCACATTTGTGTATTTTTTGGTATGTAAGTCATTTTTCAATCTAAAAACTTATTTGAAATATATAAAGTTCCAGTAAAATAGAAACTCTGCTTTGACAAACTCCTTTGGAAAGTAATGGTAGTAAAAATATACCTTCAGCACAAATCTGTAATTTTGTGATCATAATGCTAAAAATAATCTTAAAACATGTTAGAAAATGGGAAGAAGCATAAAGGAAAAGTGAATAGTATTTTTACCTGGTAACATCAGCCCCGCTATTAGAGTATGAAATCTAGTTTAAAAAAAAAAAAAAAAAAAAGACAAAGACAAAGCACTAAAACTATCACAACCAATGAAGGCAGATTTAGACAGAAAGTGAATGAGTGAGGTAATTTTGAACCCTAAAAATACAGTGCTAACTATCTGAAAGCACAGGAAGAAATCATCAAAAGAAAAATTCAATGGTCAATGTTCAACGTCACTTTGATAGTCAAAGAAACAAATCAAAACAAATTACCATTTTTAAACTATCCAAGTGGCAAAGATATTCTAAAATGCTAACACGTGGTGTTTGTAAAAGGACAGAAAGAGAGAACTTTCACGAAGTCCTGTGGACATAAGTTCTAAGGGCAAGTGGACAATGACGTCTCAAAAGTCTTTAAGTTTTCAATGATTAGTATTAACATGTTCAATCATCAAGAGCACAATTTCACGTTATTACAGAGGCTGGGATCTAAAGTTGGCAAATCCCCTTTTCTTCTTCACGCCGCTTTGTTTTTGGCCTTGTGAGGGACGGCCCCACTTGAAGGTGAGAAGGCAGAGGGCACTGTCAGCTCTACTCCCCATCTTCTGAAAGCTCCCACCGCCACTGCACCACCTATGAAGATTCTAAAGGCAACCCTTGTGTCTTTACTTCATCCCGGCTTCTCCTCTTAAAGACGAGGAGGACAAGCAGACGCCCGTCTATTACATAAGTCTCGTTTGCTCCACCTCTTCCATCCAGCCTGTCTAAAAAATCTCTCCTCTCCCCAAATATCTCCCCTGAAGTCTCCTGTCCCATGGGTCCCAATTTCTTTACAGTGCAGCTCTCTGGCCATGTGGAGGAGGAAGAAAACTGGAGCCTTTTGCACTATGGAGGAAATTTACTCCTGCTTCTCCAGCTACAAAAGGTTCCCAACGATTAACCGATTCATGATAGCAGCAGCTTTCATTGACTCGTTGTTTGTATCAGGCATGCAATTTTAGCAGAAATTGTGAAAGTGGGAAATTACTACTGGAATAATTGGAAAACCAAATGAGATGTCCCAGGAAATGTCGTAGCTTCTGGGCAAATACATTTGTTCATTCTGCTCTCGTGCCTTGAGCATGTGGGCCAGGCACTGGCAAAGTCCACAAGGGCCCAGCCGATGGAAGAGAGACCGACACAGAGACTCCGGCAGTTCGCTGTACAGTACGCAACCGGTTCAGAGTTCAGACAGTAAACACCGCAGGGGGTTAGAAAGAGGGATAATCATTAAATGTGTGTTTTAAGCAAAGAAAATATTTCTATCACCCGCAGCCCCAGAACTGACTCTCTATAGAAGCATGACTGGGGGAACAGGACTATCTCCATAGTCCACACGCCATCATGAATCACTTGTGGGATGAGCTTCCTTATCTTGGAATGTTTCTGGGGAACCTTAGTATTAATCTTTCTCTGGTCCTTTCAGCACATCCTCAGATGAAAAGGCAGTTTTTAAAGCCCTAACAAAATGGAAAATAAATGCAAAAGAACTGGTGCCTCTGCCCTGAAGGCTGGGAGTCATCCATGACTACCTGACAGAGATGGAGTCCCAGAGGTCTCTCCAACACAGACAGGATCTACATCTGGAAGTTCAGTGTTTGGCAGTCAGAACACATTTTCCCATAGAGACAATGTATGAATCAGGGTTCATTCTCAGATCCGGCTGACAAAGCTCCATTATTAACTCATACAGTACCGAAAGCATAGTATCATCCTATTTCTTCCATTATATTTTTACTGAGAAACAATTCCCGCACAATTCACCCTTTTTTTTTTTTAAGATTTTATTTATTTACTTGACAGAGAGAGACACAGTGAGAGAGGAAACACAAGCAGGGGGAGCGGGAGAGGGAGAAGCAGGCTTCCCGCCAAGCAGGGAGCCCGATGCGGGGCTCAATCCCAGGACCCTGGGACCATGACCTGAGCCGAAGGCAGACGCTTAATGACTGGGCCACCCAGGCGCCCCACAATTCACCCTTTTAAAATATACAATTCACTGTGTTTTAGCATACTCACAAAGTTCTGCAACCACCACCTGTATGTAATTCTAGAACATTCTGTCATCCCCTCAAAAAAATCCGTACCTCCGGCAGTCATGCCTCCCTCCTCCACATCCCCTCCCAGCCACTGATCTATTTTCTGTCTCTACAGATTTGCCTATTGTGGCATTTCATATCAATGGAATCGTCAAGATATGTGGCCTTTTGTGTCTGGCTTCTTTCACTCAGCATCATGTTTTCAAGGCTCATACAAGCTGTAACACGTATTCAGTACCTCATTTATTTGTCAAAAGCCTTTTAAAAGTTCAAACGTTGTACCTCAAATGGAATTCCATCTTTAAGAATTTATAGAAATAATCAGAAATGCACCAAAGGATCTGTGTACAAGTGTATATCACAATTTTATGATAGGAAAAAAATGTAACATTCACTATAGGGACTGCTTAAATAAACTTACACATTTATATGTTAGAATACTATGTAGCATCAGTAAACAAGATTTTAAAGGTTGAGAGGAAAAGCTCATTGTTAACTAAAGAAAGAAGGTTAAAAACCATATTTTATTAAAATGTATTTGTGGGATGACATCAACCAAAATATATTACCAGGTATCTTTGGGTAATAGGAATATGGATGGTTTTAAATTTCCTATTTATATTTATATAATTCAAAATTTTCTTTAATAACTTGAATGATCAGTAATTTGTCTCCAGTAACACTTTTCTACCGGGAGAAAAAACAACTTTTAGAATGTGAACAGAAAGGCACTCAGAGTTCAATTCAGAGTCCCTCATATTTTCATAATTTTATCGTCAATATAATTATACACACACACACAACAGAAGAATAAGCTGTTGTTTTTAAAAGTTGTGAAAAGCAAAAAAGAGACAATAAATATAAATGCAGAAATTGAATTCGGTACCAGAAAAATGGAACTGATCAATAATCCAAGAACTGGTTGTCTTACAAAAACAACAAAAGGGATGGAGTTTAAGAAATCTGACAAGAAAAACAAAAGCTAAACAAATAATATTAGAAATGCAAAAGGGATATAACCAGAGACACTGATGTTTAAAATGCAAATAATCCATGCTACTAAATTTAAAGGTGGGATAAGTGGGAAAGTAAATTGTAAAAATGGAGTCAAGAAGTAAAAAAGCTCAAATGATCAGAAAGCAAAACTAAAACTTTTCACAGCCTTACCTTCCCTAAAGAGTCTTTTTTTTTTTTTTTTTTTTTTTTAAGATTTTATTTATTTGACAGAGAGTGCGCACAAGCAGGGGGAGCGGCGGGCAGAGGGAGAGGGAGAAGCAGGCTCCCCACAGAGCAGGGAGCCCGATGCAGGGCTCTGGGACCCTGGATCCTAACTGGAGCGGAAGGCAGATGCTTAACCAACTGAGCCACCCAGGCGCCCCCCCTCTGACTAGTCTTTATGACAGAGAATTTAAAGGAAGTGCTCTCATACTTTCAAGAAACGATCAATTCTAAAGCTTTATAAAGTGTTCCGGAACACATAAAGTTATGGAAAGTTACTAAGTGAATTTTATGAGGCTAGTATAACTCTGAGATCAAAACACAACAAAAGTTACCTCCTGCCCCAAAGGAAATGTCCATCCATACACATTAGATAGGAACATTCTAAACACAAAATTAGGCTGCAAAATTTAACATTACCAAGAACAATTTATTATTAGGAAATGCACAAATACCTAAAACCAACACAATCAACTAAATTAATGCTCAAAAACACCCCAATAAAACACCTATTCCTATTAAAAACTCTAAAAGCCACAAATCACAAAATTATCCACTTAGAGTTTTAAAAGTCTCTCCCTAACCAGTAAGTAAACAATAAAATTAATGGAGTAAAAACAAAAATATCCCAAGTAAAACGAAGAATAAGAGAGACCACTAGGAAAGTCTGACTAATTCGATAAGCCATGAACCAAAACCAAGTAGTTAGTTACATCAAAACAAAATAAGTAGAAGTCTAAATGGAGGAAGGAAAATCCCATTCACTTCAGCAACATCAATAATCAGCCCATAAATAAATAAAACAAAACCTGAAAGTATCTGAAACTAACACTAACTCAAAATGTCAGATCCTAAATGTAAAGAAAATTACCCACTTTGACTGAGTTATAAAAGAATTGAAAAAAAGAAAAAAAAGAAAAAATCAGGGAGCATACTTTACTTCTAAGTTGGCTAGCTTAATAATACAGAGAAACATACTTTTAATATTCCATTCCTGCCATTAGAGTCACACTCAATACAGACAGATTTTAAAGTCGGCCCCTGAACCCAAAATTGTAGTCATACCAGAAATGCTATCTATATAGCCATTAAAAAATATGAGGAACGTTTTGATCAACCGACATGGGGAAAAGTCCACCATAAATTGTCAAGAGGAAAAAAAAAAAAAACAGGTATAAAATAAAAGGATCATAACAATCTCCTGGTGTACGTGGGGCAAGGCACAGGTATTTAGAAATAAAGAGGAACACTCCAGAGTGAGCAGCTGGCGACCTCTGGGCAGTGAGGTCACACGATTTTAGGCATTTGGAACTTTCGCAAAAAGTACAGTGTAACTTCTATAAATTTGGGGGTAGGGAGGGAAACAGTTTAAATGTAACGAAACACACCAAAATATCAAAGTATCAACAGCATGTGTTTTGAGGTAGCTGAATTATGGTTGTTTGGACATATTTTCCTGTGTTTTCCAAATTTTCTACAATAATCATAAAAAATAAACCTCTGTGCAAAACTGTTAGAGAAATGTAAACAACAACATGTTAAAAAATTCACTTGGACCCTCTTGTTCATTTGAGCTTACATGTGCCAAATTCTCAGTTTTTCTCCAACTATTCTATTATTTTCAACATTAAATTCAAAATTTGCCAGGAAGTCTTCCAATCCGAAAAAAATAAAAATAAAAAGGTCTGAACGGGAAAGTTCACACACCCTTGTTCAAATTAAAAAGGAAAGCAAAATGTGGTGAGGAATCAAGAAAGGCGTGGTCCAGAGTCTCACCGTGAAACTGTTGTTGACATTCTTGGTGCTGGATTCAGCCACGCTGGCATCTGTCAGATCCACCTCATCAAATATGATCGACTGGAGAGAGACACAGGCACCATAGTCAGTGCGGGGCCAAGGCACCCTGGCCCAGCCACTCTCCCTCAACCCCAGCCAAGCACCCACAACGCCCAAGCGCCTCGGAACTTGAGCACTTGATAACTACACGAACACTGACTGCATCCACCCTACCTGCTTCTAACCAAGAGCACAGAGCTCACAGGTAGAGCTCTGTGTGTTTTTTAAGCCAGGAGTTCATGAGTGATTGCATTAGTGGAGAAAAACAAAACAAAACAAAAAACCACTGTGATTTCCATATTTATTTTTTGTAATCAGCATTTCACTTTTATATGTGAAATATGCCCTCACACAGAGTCCACCTGAGGGAGCAGGGCTCCAGCCTGAGGATCCTCTGTCCTTCCAGCTAGCACACTTAGGGGGAAAGGTCCTGGCTAAAATCAATGATTCTAGGAAGAGAGATCAACCCAAATAGAAGGGATCTGGCCATGAAAAAAAAACAAAGGAGCAGACCAGAAGGAATCTAGTCCTGGAGAGACAGCTAGGCTCCAGAAGGAGGACTGATAATTACGCTGGGGACCTTCCCCCCAACCGAGTATTTCCTCTCCACTATCCCCCAAATCCCCACAGTGCCCATCTCCTGTTTACCTTACTGTCCCCTCTAAGAGGACTCCATTGGGAACACCTGGAGGAAATGCTAATGACTTAGAAAAGAGACTCACCTTTTTAAAGTAACGAACCTCCTCCCCCAAACCCTCTCCCCACACACACACAGAACTAAAATAACTATAAGCGGTTTTTTGTTTTTTTGGTTTCTTTTTTTTAATGAGGGATGTGGTCAGAATCCTCTCTAAACAAGGTGCTCTGTTCAATTTCAAATTTTAATGCACTCTCTAGGGATACATCTCAAAAAAAAAAAAATTTGGAATCTGAATCATTTACATTTTAATACCAAAATATCAGTATTGACAACAATACTGATACAATACTGGTATTCAGAACATGAAAACTAGCTTTACACACATTTGCTTAAACATGACGGAATTCAGTGGCTTTCAGTGGCTCCCTGTCTTCCGCTAGAGCCCGGTGACTCTCGCTGCAAAGCTCACACACAAGCCAGCACAGGGGAAGGAGCAGCTCGGCTAGAGGCCTTGAGACAGAACTTCACAGTTCTGTTCACACACCAACAAGCCCAATACGCTCCAAAAACAGCTTCAATTAGTTTCACACGTATGTACTTCTTATCTCCAAACTCATTAAGTTGTATACATTAAATATCTATAGCTTTTTGCTTGTCAATTATAAACTGACCATTTCTTTAAATCACTTGTCAGTAAAGTGCTTTTAAAGAAAAAAAAGATATTTTAGCCCCTAAGAGATTTATAAGCCTGTGACCCCCAATTCTTCCAAAAGAAAGATCTGTAACTGTAATTTGATTATTTCTGTGACATTTCCCCCTTTCCCCAATGGTGACATAGGACATTAAGGAAAAGAAAAGTGAGGAAAAGCCAACGTTTATAAGAAATAAAACATTCCTTGAGACAAACTAAAGCTAGCACCCTGGAGTATTACCAAACTCGCTGGAAATAACAACCGTAAGCAGTGGAGGTTTGTCCCAGGATGTGGACTCGGTAGGGAACCTCTCTCCCCTGCAGCCCCTCCCGAGTCTGGTCTCAAGTGGTCTCCACCGTACCTCACCTTTGCTGTTTTTGCGTAGTACAGCGTTCGCCCCCGCAGCTTAAAGTATCTCCTTTTTGATCGCTGGAATGAATTGTTCTGTTTGGTCAGCATCCCTTCCTTGATGACAGTCTGAAAGCACAGAAATGATCCATGAGCAAGCGTCTGCACGGTGCCCTCAAGCCCGTCCCGCGGAACTGCACATGGACGGGCCAGTGTGTGTGTGACCAGTTAGGCCAGGGGCCTAACTGAAGTACTTCTCACACTCTCCCTAGACCCTGGCCTCTGGACAGGCCAAGCGCGCTGCCCGGGAGGGCTACACAATTCTGAGGGACTATGGCATGCCTGAGCAGTGAGGGTGTCAGGGGCCCACGGTGTGCCTGGCCATGCCCAGGGGATCAACAGAAGGGGACATGAAGACTCGCAGGGCCACAGTAAGCAGCAAGGGGCCAGAGCATTCTCCAACTTCAGCATTTGGTATTTTTCAGCTATTCTTGGCCCCGTCTCCGTGTTCCCTGGCCTCCTGCCATTTCTCAGGATCCTGTTGCCAAAACTGTCGACATAGGTTGCTATGGGGTAGGCAGCTCCAGGCCTGCACCCCACTCAACCCTCATCCCATTCACAAGCTAGGCATGTGCCTCTGCCCAAACTGTCAGAGAGAAGTGCCACAACCAAAGTCACTGAAACTCCTCTCATCCTATAAATCTGATCAGTCCACCATGAAACTGGAGTTCCTTCCCTTAACAGCCGAGGTGGACAGTAGTCCAGTCCACTCACCTTGGCTCAATTAAAGCCACGAATGGGACATGGCTTCTCCTGGAGCTGTTTCCCCTCTTGTGCTGTCCCGGGGGCTGGTCTAATAGGACAAGGGAGGCCTGCAGGACATTCAGAAGTGAAATGCTCAAAGAACTACTTGATCATTAGACATCCGAACCACTGGGAGCCACGAAGAGTCAAAATGAATAAACAACGTGCCTGAAACAAGAGCCTGGTTCTCGGCATGTGCATACTTCTTTTTCCCCAGCTGCCAGGAATGGCCATTGTACAAGAAGTCTCACTGTGGAATCAGGCAGAATGCACAACTCTGCTCCAATACACCAATACCGGTTCAGAGATGTTTTAGATGAATTACCTAATCCCATATAGCTTTGCAGTTTAAGTAACTTTTTAAAGATAGTTATCTGTCCAAAGCACTTGGGGACCTGTGGCTACTGAAGACGACATAAGATGAAACCAGACACAGAAACCTCACGTAACCCAAACACGTCAGAAGGCAAGAGCAGAACACCAGCGCGGTCTGGTCCCTCCACCAGCCAACTTCAAACAGAGCAGGGAGGGAACTCCGGATGCAGCTAACCCCAATCCTGAGAAGAATGCCGAAGAACGCCCCTGATCCCACACACACCACCAACACGGGGCCACGCACCGGGACCCCAACCTGAGCCACACAGCGCCTGGGGGTCGGGGGGGGGGCCTGGGAGTGCAGGCCACTGCTCCCCTCTTTGTCCCCACCACAGGATACCTCTCAGGCAGCTTCCCAGACAGGGGAGGCGGCACAGGCCAGCTCGTGACCGTGGGCCAGGTGTCACGGGAGCTGTGCTGGCTGGCTGGCCGGCCTCGCGGTACGAACAGCAACCTTCTCCAACTCCCAGGAGAAGAACTACTGAGGAATCTCCCTCCTCATTCTGTGGCACATGCCTCCCCCCTACTTCTGAGGACATCACCCACCCGCTCTCCCAGGTAATTAAAGAGTGCCAGCGGCAGAGAGAAGACCACAACCTCACCCAATGATCAAAGGAATAGACACGCAACTACAGTCACAGAATCTGAAACTGCCATCCTTAACTAAACGAAGGCACTGCTGTTCTCAAGGGCGGGAACTGTGCCGAGCCACAGAGAACGCGTGCACTCGGATCCCAGGAGCTGCAGGTAGAAACCATCCCCCATACAGAAGGACTAGCAGGTTGTTTCCTAACATTCTTTTCGGAGCCACATACACGTGGACACTCATGGCAACGTGCTCTTTGGAGACCCAGAACAGCTACGTCTGCGCACAGTGATGCAGACCCACAAGCGCCCACACGGAGCTCCGGGACAGCCTCTCCTCCTTGACCTCACAGGACTTGCTTACAGGCGAAGGCACCTCTCCTCGCCCCCACGCGTCTTCCTTACCTCTGCACGGGAAGTCACCACTTCCATCTCCTTCCTAAATGCAAATAAAAAAAAAAAAAAAAAAAGAAGACAACAAAACCAACAAGCCCAGACCCAGAAAAGTTATAAGTTATCTTTAAAGGATAAATGCTAGAGTATTTTTTCTTGCATCTCCTGCCCCACATCTCATACATAAAAGAAAAGCAAAATTAAAATACAATCCACTCCACCACACACACACAAATCGTTCAGAAAGCGGATGAGCACTGCGAGCTTGGGCTACCCAAGGAGGGCCGCTGTTCTATTTATAGAACAAGAGCACTCAGAAAAAGACTCTGGTGGGTTTCAGCGGAAAAGGCTGGGGAAAAGATAAAGACCAGTATTTCTTTGAAGCTTTCTCAGAAACTGCGTTTCTTCTCCTGATTCGTTGCTCGAGAATACTATAGATATGCTGCAGAATATTTTTAAACACTCAGTCAAAAGCAATGAACTAAAAGTGGTCAAGAAAATAACACCCCTGAATAATCTGCTGTGTTTTGCATTTGGCAGCTTGTAAATGGCACCCACAGGAAACACTGCTCAGCTGGCAGGGCTCCTCCTCGTGCCCAATGGAGCAGAGAACCAGAAGTCAAAAACCCAGACTCAAGCACAGCTCAATTAGTACATGCTGGGCGGCCAGGCTCTTAGAACCATTTTGTCAAGTTCTCTGCACAAACAGAAGGGCCCACTCTGTCCTTCAAGCAATCCAGGGTACCTTCATTACCACTGGAAATAAGAAAGGACAGATTCGAAACACATGCAGGCACTGAGAATCAGAGTGGGAAAGTGAGCCCGCGCCCACCTCCAGAGAGGAAGTAAATCCCCAAGCTGGACTCCAGGGATGAAACCAGCAGTCTAAGCGTGGCCCTGGGTGCCACAGCCACCCACGGTGAGCAGACAGAGAGCACCTGGCCCACAGGCGAGACTGCCTGGGCACCTGCTTGGCGGGGGGGGGGGGTGCTCAAATCTCTAGTCATCCTGCTCAGGAACAAAGGACTGAGGAAGGCAGCTCTGGAGATGCCCTTAAAAAGGCTTCAAACCAGGGGCGCCTGGGTGGTGCAGTCAGTCAAGCATCCAACTCTTGGTTTCTGCTCAGGTCGTGATCTCAGTGTCATGGGATCAAGCCCTGCATCGGGCTCTGCGCTCAGCGCAGTCTACTTGAGATTCTCTGTCCCTCCTGCTTGTGGGCTTGTGCTGTCTCTCTAAGAAATAAAATCTTCAGGGGAAAAAAAAGGTTTCAAACCAGTGGGCAGGGAAAGGCAAGCGCAGGCCCCTCAAGCCCTGGTCAAACGTGCCCAGATCACTGACAGCCAGGCCTGTGGGTCTCAGGTCCTCGGGTACACCTTTGCAAAGATGGTTTTGACTGCAGTACAGAGGAAAGGCAGAGAGAAACCTAGAGGGACGCAGAACAGTCCAGAAACTCTTATAAGAGGGCAGCCAGCAACACTGAACCTCTGGGAGGGAGATAGGGACACAGACATGAGAGTGCTTGGGGTGCCTGGGAAGAAGGCCACCACAGATGGAGGCAAGGAGGACTCTGGTTTCATGGGGGAGGCTGGGGGCTTCGTTTGGGGCATGCCCACGAGGTCCTCAAGCATGCCAGGGGGAGCTGAGCAGAGAGACTGCAGCAGATATGAGGTCAGGGTGTGAGAAAAGGTTTAACAGAGGAGATGCCTTGGTAAGACCCATATGGAAAAGGAGCAGAAGGAGGGCAGGCACAGGGGACCAGGAACCCCGGGACACCAAGCTTGGGTACAGAGAGGTAGGAACCCAAAGGGAGGACAGAAGAAAGTGGGCACAAGGCCAGGGGCAAGGAGAAAGCCCCCAGGAGGCCACACTCATGATGCCAAGTGGGAGGAGTCGGAGGAGGACCTGCCAGGGCGAAGCCGGAGCACAGCGCACCATTGGTGACTGGGATGGGAGGAAGCAAAGTTGGCAGGTGGGGTTTTTTAACCCACATGTTTCTTAACTTTTTATAAACGTGGGATCATAGTGCACATACCGTACTTGAACTTCCTATTTTTTGTTATGATACATTGTCAACACCCTTCCATATTAGTATATCTTTCTCGGCTGCAGAATATTTCCATGTACTGATGATGTGCCTGTATCACTCAACTCACTTGGGCTGCTAGAACATGTGGAATGCATCCCGCTCTATACCATCAACATTGCTTTGAAGTATAGCGCTACAACAAAACAGTCTGTGCCTGTCCTGGACTATTCCTTAAAGCAAATGACTAGAGGCGGCATTTGGGGCTCAGGACAGCCCAGAAATAGATGCTGGCAGACTTGAAAGCGTGACAAGTGACAGCAGCAGCGTCTCCAGCTGGGGGCAAGGAGGGACCAGTCAGTGGCCGGGCCTAAGACAACAGGTTATCCAAGGGCAACAATGCTCTCAGTCCCCTGCCTCACACACGTGGGCTACGGATGCAATGCAAAAGGCCGAACTTTAAAAGTTTCAGCAGACAATAAAGAAGAATTGCCTATGACCTTGGAATTGGGGGAAGGGAGTCTTAAATAGGATTGAAAAAATACTAAACACAAACTATAAAACTGCTAAAGCCAACTATATTCCAAATGAGAACTTCTGTTGATCAAAGAACCTTACAAAGAAAGGGAAGAGGGAAGCCATGGTCTGGGAGAAGATACACACCATACTGCCAATGGCCAGAGCCAGCATCCAGAACATTCTAAGAACCCCTGCAAAACAGTAACAAGAAAAAGCAACTACTAAATGGAAAACTGGCAGAAGGCATGAAGTGGAGCAAGTCCAATGGTGACTAAGAGATGCTGAAGGGCAGTGTGCTGGACAGAAAGGATCCCTGGGGGCGACATCCTGATGCTCTGCTGGGTTCACACATGCAGTTTATTACACGCGTTTATGCTGCACTGACATTTACATGCATGTTACTCAGCATGGGACAGAAGTAAAATCTCAG